TTTGTTTCAACTGCAGATTGCCGCTTTAAAACATGTAACCAGCTAACAAGGGTATCATACAGTGCATTTTAGTCTCAACATTGTTGTTGCTAATAAGCCTTGTTCACATTGGCAGTTTGAAGTAACTCAAATCCTATTTCTTTGCATATTCAAATCTCTTTTTCCTGCAGTCTGAACAGCCAAAAGCCACATAGAATCAGATATTTCAAGCCACATTTCAAACGACCTTCGTAGGTGGTTTGAAGTCTAATACAAATCTGATTCCTGGCGTTGTGACTTGTCTGAACAGTCAAATCTGATTTATTTGCCCTCAAGTGGTTTTAGTGTTATTTGGCATATTTTGTTGCTTGCTAGCTACTCTGTTGACAGTTTGACAAGAACATGACTTGGTAGCTAATGTACTACAAAGCTAAACAGGCTTTAAAATCATTCTTACACAATGATTTTGAACATTCAAAGCAACTGGAAAACGTCCATGGCAGGCATGTGAGTCACCTTAGCTTGCTACATAACTTCTGAATGATAGGAAGCACGAGAACCACCTCCAATCAGCCTACACCACTGCGCACACACCCGTTGTTACTACACTGAACAAAAATATAAACGCAACATGTGAAGTGTTGGTCCCATGTTTCATGAGCTGAAATAAAAGATCCCAGCAATTTTTTCCATAAGCACAAAAAGCTTATTTCTCTAAAATGTTGTGCACAAATTTGTTTACATCCTTGTTAGTGAGCATTTCTCATTTTCCAAGATAATCCATCCACCTGACAGGTGTGTCATATCAAGTAACTGATTAAATGGCATGATCATTACACAGGTGCACCTTGTGCTGTGGACATTAAAACACTACTCTAAAATGTGCAGTTTTGTCACACAACACAATGCCACAGATGTCTCAAGGTTTGAGGGAGCGTGCAATTGGCATGCTGACTGCAGGAATGTCCACCAGAGCTGTTACCAGAGAATTTAATGTTAATTTCTCTACCATAAGCCGCCTCAATGTCATTTTTGAGAATTTGGCAGTATGTCCATCCGGCCTCACAACCTCAGACCACGTGTAACCACGCCAGCCCAGGACCTCCACATCCGGCTTCTTCAACTGTGGGATCGTCTGAGACCAGCTACCCTGATGAAAGTGAGGAGTATTTCTGTCTGTAATAAAGCCCCTTTGTGGGTAAATACTCATTCTGATTGGCTGGGCCTGCCTCCCCAAGTGGGTGGGCCTATGCCCTCCCAGGCCCACCCATGGCTGTGCCCCTGCCCAGTCATGTAACATCCATAGATTAGGGCCTAATGAATCTATTTCAATTGACTGATTTCCTCATATGAACTGTAACTCAGTAAAATCAATGAAATTGTTGCATTTATATTTTTGTTCAGTATATGACAACAAGCATAGCCATGTCAGCAAATGACTGCTGTTTGAACACACACATCCGATTTGGTCACTTGTAACTTGCTGTTTGGACAGTCAGTATTCCAAAACGAATTTGGAAAAACAAAACTGATTTGAGCATTAAGGCTTGCATTGAATGAGTTGAGATTCGAGGATCACAACCAGTGTATGAACCCTAAGGTTCTCCAATCTCCATTGTATCTTCTTTGCCAGCTCACATGTAGTGCTGTTAGAGCTGGATCTATTAATTAGTTATCGCATTGTTAGGTTACTCTCTACTAGCCTTGGTGTGTGTGTGTGTGTGTGTGTGTGTGTGTGTGTGTTGTGAGCTGGTTGTGAGTCAGTATTGAGCATCTTTTTCATCAATATCTCTTATCACACTACCTCTTGTGTGTTGTATTGTTTCTCAATTAATTAAATCCCAGTAAGTTATAGCCATGGTCTCTTTCGAATACAGACTATGAGAGTAGCCGTTGATGTTGTTATATACATGTGCTGTTCATTCTGACTATTTGGAAGAGAGGGCTGTAGTGAAATGTGTTTTGCAACATATCTCTTACAGGGGGAGTATGTTGGCATGTCTAAGGAATTTTTAGCCATGTCAGTGTTTGATACGTTTCCAGGAAGAAGCATCACTGTGAAATGAACAAACCCATGCTGAGAATAGCGGTTTTGCTAACTGCCTTCTTAGAAAGGTCAAGTTGTTATCTTGTCTAAAAACATTATTTTCTTATTTCCCCCTAACTGGGTTAGGTGAGAAGAAACTTGAAAATTGGATTCATGATGCATCACGTGCTCTCTGCTACTGTAGCTACATTGTGGTGTTTGCCGTGTCACGTTTTAGTGTCATTTAATAAGGTTAGTCTCACAGTGCTTCTTTGTTGTCCTTCTTGTTTTGGCTTTTCTGTCTGTTCAGCACAGATAACAGGGAAGCCTCGGCTACACTGAGGATCATGTGAAATCTAGACTGATACAGGAGTCCAGTGAGTGAGGGCAGGAGGATTCCATGATGTGTGTTTTGTACAGAGTTGACTTTGAAATCCACTAAGGTAATACACTCTCAGACAACCTCAGTTTTCACTGTACTTTGTGAGTTCTCACTCTGTCGATGCGAAGACACACATGCGTTCATAGAAGGTCGCTGCAGGGTTTTGGCACAAAGAAGAGGCATTGTCTCAAGGGATCCTGACAGGGTTAAGAACTATTAAACTGTCAACCATTTGTACATGTTGTACTGTCTGAAGAACCACCTTGGCCATTTTAATGGTAAGACAAGAAGTTGGGTGGGGGAAAAATCCCTGGGTCCCCAGAACGATTCTTCCCAGTTCCCACAGGGTAGCCAATGGTACTTGAACAAATCAACGGCTGCGTCCTAAGAAGACATCCACAATTAGCACCATCTTATCAAGCTCTCTCCAGCTCTCTCCAGCACTTTAACAGATGAGTCTCCAGTAGTAATTCAATAGAACTGGACTGGCGCTCATCTGAAGAGGTTACGCTGCTCATCATTGCTCGTCGGTGGAAACCTCAAATTAGAACGAGATGGCCCCAGATCTCTGGAGAGCCCAGTTTATTTATACAAGATGATGAGCATGCCATCGGAGACCAGATGAGCCCAAAGTGGGAGTTTCCGTTAATCCTTACGTCACGGGACAAGTATTTCAACTGCCCCGAGTTTGTCCTTACCCCCCCTTCCTCTGTTCTTGTCGTGCTGTGAATCATGGGAAGCTTGGTCATGAGGTTGCTCTCCTCTAAATAGTGTGCCACAGGAGATATTCAGAGCCCCAGTGCTGTTCTACAGACAGTTCACAGTTCTAGCCCTCCTTCAGAGTATGGTGTTCTCACAATCCTGTGTGTGTCCTCACTATAATATTTTTTTTAAAGTGCACCTGCTCTGGGGGAAAACGGTAAGAGGTCAACGCAGACAGAAGTTAGACCCAGACTTTGCCTGTCTGAACCCCACAGAGCAAGACTGGCTCAACTAGTGGCTCAACTCTACAGACGCCTGTCTCCTGTTTTGACTTGTGCCAGCCTGCAGGGCCTTGGTGATATAATGATGGGCCAGTGTTTTTGGCACTGCCTGCCTTGCCATCCATCCATGCCCCTTATATCATCATAAGTCTGTGTACAGACTTCCACCTTATCCCAAGGGGCCATGGGGGTTGAGAACTTCTCCACACCCACTGACCAGCCCATCTTCTACAACCCTGATGCTTTTACTGTACACCAGGATACTAGCTTTCTGACTGCCCTGATGACTGTTAACCAAATAGACTTTAGTAACTGAACTATACAGTGAGCCGCCAGTTGACTCTAAGTGATGTCAGGCTAGTAGCTTACCTGTTAAAACCACTGTGATGCCCATATGCCAGCAATGTGCTTGTGCTATCAAGCAACCCACTCTGTGTGTGGTGCTTTAGTTTTACTCTTACTTTGCCCCACCCAAATGTTTTCCAGAACTATGTGCTAATTTTAATGTTTGAAGGAGGTTATTTCTACACTATTTTTGTGTCGGGTTTGAGAGAGTATAGGCTTGAGCTTGTTCTTGTGAAAAGGTGTGTGAGCGAGAGAGAGAGGGAGACTCTCCACCACACACACACATTCCTAAACAGTTTCCTCCCTATCTCACACAGCCACTGGGCACGATAAAGCAAAGCTGGAGGAGAGCCATGTCATTATGAAAAGTGAAATCAAACGATCGGCAGCAGGCCCAAAAGTAAACTGAAGTCCAAACCCAGTGGTGGAAAACAACCTGTAGAAGCAGAATCCTCGGAGCAGGCGGAAACCAAGGCACCGCTACTCTAAGAAAGCCCCAGCTCTAATTTGGCTTAACGGATCATCAGTGACAACCTTAAACATAGCAATAAACCAAAGACGACACCTAAGTAGTATAAACCAAACTTTATGAAGTGTAAAATGGTCTTGGCAGAACTTTCTTTCACACTGCAAAGAGGGAATATAAATGGCTTCAGAGATGGTCCTCCGGTGTGTTATCCTTTTGGCTTCTTCATGTGACTTAGCAAGGCTGGAACTGGGAAGAGATGGGAACAACCTAGAAGTGAATGGAGGATGCTTAGGTCCTGACAAGGGCAACTGGTCCTTACTGTTTGCAGATGTTTTTCACCCTTGGAATGTCTTTCCTATGTCTAATGTGCTTGTCACTTGTTTGTGAAGCTATATGTTAGACATGTTATGCCTGTTTGTGTGGCCATCCGTGTCTGATCAAACCTTCCCTTATGTTGGAAACAGGAAAAGAAGTTGGCCCCTCACTGTGTTCTGTGGTCAGACCACACACTTGAGTCTTAGATCTCAGGGACGGGGCATTGTGATTCAGTGTGTCATCAACTCAATTCTTCACTCGTGTAGCACTTCTCCCTTTGAATAAGAAGAAGACTTACTCAAAGAATTGCATTATTTAAAATAGTGCGAGCAAAACACTGTTCAAGACAAGACGCTGGTTTGGGCAGAATCAAGTCAAAAGTATGCCTCTACCTTAAGAGGTTAGGATTGCAGTGGTGTTGCATAAAAATAAAATGAAGAACTAGTAGGACTATGTTCACATTATATTGGCTATTATTTTAATAAACTCCTGTCTCAACAGATTAAACCCTAAGGACTTGAATCCGACTGGATACCGAAGAAGGATTAGGACACTGGGAGGCTTGAGAGAATCAGGACCTGATATTTGTGGGGTTTGGGGATTGACCAACTTTGGATATCTGATGCAAGGGATCTGGATGCACCAGGACTATCCCAAGATTGAGGGTCACAGGGGCTACCTGTCTTCACCAGCCTGCAAGGCGGCGACAGAGAGCAGGACGCTGAACCGGCGGAGCCCAGGAATGAGCGAGTTCTGGCACAAGATGGGCTGCTGCGTGGTGGCCAAACCCCCACCGGTAAGTCTGGGCCAGCTGCCACTTATTTACTAATGTTGAGGTATAAAATGCTCATTACTCTAACATTCTCTATGTCAGGTTTCACAAAATTCCCCATCTAATAGATGTATTGGACTAGAATAGAGACTAGTAATAGACTATGGACTATACTCCACAAGCATGCTCTATATTAGACCCTGACCACTTCTATTCAACCCTCTCTTGCCAAGATGTGTTTCCGAGGTTGTGGAGGTCCCTGGCAAGTCTTGCAAGTATTGTAGCCAAAGGTGAGGTTTGGGCATCCCAGGCAGCCAAGCAAGCTTACTCTGACCACACACTTGAACTTGAAAACAAGTATTTTTGGCTGTTGCATTCAATCAAGGGAGTCCTAAATGCATGCTTAGAACAGCCAAAAGTGAAACGCTGCCCGAAGACCTCTTTACCCATTAGATTTTACGGCAAGATGTTATGGGGGACCCTTTTAAATGCATCAAAGTCCAATAAATCTGTTGGCAAAGGCCGATGTATTTATGGTGTTTTTCAGACTCCATCTGCAATCACTTACAGGCTGATATCTTTAAACGGGTGACGTTTTATAGCTTGCAGTTCAGTGGCATCCACATCTTGAGCAATATCTTGAAAGAGTGCCATCTTTAATTTGTTATTGCACTCTCACTATACTTAGGGTGAATTCCAGCCATTAAAATTCACTGACCAGTTGACCCATAGTTCAAAGTATTTAGACCCCTTGACTTTCTCCACATTTTGTTAGGTTACAGCCTTATTCTAAAATTGATTAAATAGTTTTTTCCCCTTCATCAATCGACACACAATACCCCATGATGACAAAGCAAAAACAGGTTTCATTTTCTTTGTTGCAAATGTATACACATTTAAAAAAAGTACTTTGTTGAAGCAACTTTGGCAGCGATTACAGCCTCAGATCTTCTTGGGTATGATGCTACAAGCTTGGCACACCTGTATTTGAGGAGTTTCTCCCATTCTTCTCTGCAGATCCTCTCAAACTCTGTCAGGTTGGATGGGGAGCGTCGCTGCACAGCTATTTTCAGGTATCTCCAGAGATGTTCAAGTCCGGGCTCTGGCTGGGCCACTCAAGGACATTCTGAGACTTGTCCCAAAGCCACTCCTGCGTTGTCTTGGCTGTGTGCTTAGGATCATTGTCTTGTTGGAAGGTGAACCTTCGACCCAGTCTGAGGTCCTGAGCGCTCTGGAGCAGATTTTCATCAAGGATCTCTACTGTACTTTGCTCCGTTCATCTTTCCCTTTATCCTGACTAGTCTCCCAGTCCCTGCCGCTGAAAAACATCTCCACATCATGATGCTGCCACCACCATGCTTCACCGTAGGGATGGTGCCTGGTTTCTTCCAGAAATGACGCTTGGCATTCAGGCCAAAGAGTTCAATCTTGGTTTCATCAGACCAGAGAATCTTGTTTCTCATGGTCTGAGAGTGCTTTAGGTGCCTTTTGGCAAACTCCAAGCGGGCTGTCGTGCCTTTTTACTGATGAGTGGCTTCCGTCTGGCCACTCTACCATAAAGGCCTGATTGGTAGAGTGCTGCAGAGATGGTTGTCCTTCTGGAAGGTTCTCTCATCTCCACAGAGGAACTCTGGAGCTCTGTCAGAGTGACCATCGGGTTCTTGGTCACCTCCCTCCTCCCCCGATTGCTCAGTTTGGCTGGGCGGCCAGCTCTAGGAAGAGTCTTTGTGGATCCAAACTTCTTCCATTTAAGAATGATGGAGGCCACTATGTTCTTGGGGACCTTCAATGCTGCAGAAATGTTTTGGTACCCTTACCCAGATCTGTGCCTCGACACAATCCTGTCTCTGAGCTCTATGGACAATTCCTTCGACCTCATGGCTTGGTTTTTGCTCTGACATGCACTGTCAACTGTGGGACCTTATATAGACAGGTGTGTGCCTTTACAAATCATATCCAATAAGTTGAATTTACCACAGGTGGATTCCAATCAAGTTGTAGAAACATCTCAAGGATGATCAATGGAAACAGGATGCACCTGAGCTCAATTTCGAGTCTCATAGCAAAGGGTCTGAATACTTATGTAAATAAGGTATCTTTTTTTATTTTTAATACATTTGCAAAAATTAAAAATAAACTGTTCGCTTTGTCATTATGGGGGATTGTGTGTAGGTTGAGGATTTGTATTTATTTAATCCATTTTAGAATAAGGCTAATGTAACAAAATGTGGAAAAGTCAAGAGGTCTGAATACCTTCCGAATGCACTATATGTATTCAACATGCATAGTTGTTTGTCCATCAGTAATGTAAGTATCACAGCATGGGGACGCACTGTATGGATAAGCATGTCCTTACTATCTTACATTCTAGTCTGATGAGTTAATTAATGACCATAACAATTGTATTGATCTGTTCAGGGAACTATAATGCCTGGACTTATAGTTGCTTGATGTCATCAGTTTCAAAGCAAAACATTTTATGGAATCCTAGCGAGCATTATATGGGTGTATAGAGGTCCTATTAATGTCAGAAAATATCAGTGTGTCACTGGAAAGTGGAAGAACTTCCCTTTTGCTCTCCAGAAGCGACCGCCGACCCTTGACCTCCTCAGGGCTGTACCCTTCCTGACCCTCACTCTTTCCTGGCCCAGGTTTTGCAGGGAGAGTTGCGTAATGGCGGGTTGTGTCCGTCCGTTCCCACTCGCCAACAATGAACCCGGGGGCTCAGGAGAGAGGAAGCGGTCTGGGCCACTGTCCCGTGGGAGGGCATTTTCCCTCCGTCCGTCCTCTTTTTTTTCTTTTTTTTAGGGCCTGTGTTTGTTCTATTGTGGGGGGAGGAAAATACAGAGACGTCACTTTCAATAAACACAGGCATGGATTTACATGTCTCGAAAGGGTAGGGGCTTGTGTGACGTGCCACCTTTGGAAGATGACTGTATTGAGACCCGTTTTACTGATGTTCTCATGAGATGTTGGTAGTTTGGGTATGCCTAACTTCCTGTATGTCAGTCATGTAATTGCTACCCACTTTTCTAAGCATAGCCTATGCCAAAGGGTTACGGACACCAAATGGTTGATATTACACAACATATACTGAAGGCATCTCCTAAAATGGGTTGCTAAGCGACTTTCTCTTTTGTAGCACACACAGCTGACCAATTAGCTAGACTTTCCATCAATCAGCCACAGGATAGCATACTTCCCAATTAAGCGACATTATAGTTCTGAGTTTGGTATGACTCATGGCCTGCATGGCTGCCACTTCAGAGTGGATGCCAACCAGCTGGGTATTTGGTTAGGTTGGGTATGCCTCTTAATGTTTCAAGGGCTGCTAGGACTGATTGCCGTATTGATACTCAGAAGTCGATCTACACAGAGGTTCCTACTTGATTGACAAAGAATGTCAAAAGTGTATAGATTTACCTTATGTGGACAAGATTTGATCGCCTATGTTCATTGATTTTAATTCTTGGCATCTTATATTGTTGGTTGTTCACTGATTTCAATTTGGGAGCAAAATATGCCTGCTGAAATACATTTAAGTCATTTAGCAGATGCTCTTATCCAGAGCAACTTACAAATTGGTGCATTCAACTTAGGATAGCCAGTGGGACAACTACCCTTTTTTTTTTCTTTTTTTTTGTGGGGGAGGGGGGGGTGTAGAAGGATTACTGTTATACTATTCCAGGTATTCCTTAAAGAGGTAGGGTTTCAAGTGTCTCCGGAAGGTGGTCAGTGACTCCGCTGTCCTGGCGTCGTGGGGGAGCTTGTTCCACCATTGGGGTGCCAGAGCAGCGAATAGCTTTGACTGGGCTGAGCGGGAACTGTGCTTCCATAGAGGTAGGGGGGCTAGTAGGCCAGAGGTGGATGAACGTAGTGCCCTCGTTTGGTTGTAGGGTCTGATCAGAGCCTGAAGGTACGGAGGTGCCGTTCCCCTCACAGCTCCGTAGGCAAGCACCATGGTTGTGTAGTAGATGCAAGCTTCAACTGGAAGCCAGTGGAGTGTGTGGAGGAGCGGGATGACGTGAGAGAACTTGGGAAGATTGAACACCAGACGGGCTGCAGCGTTCTGGATAAATTGTAGGGGTTTAATGGCACAGGCAGGGAGCCCAGCCAACAGCGAGTTGCAGTAATCCAGACGGGAGATGACAAGTGCCTGGATTAGGACCTGTGCCGCTTTCTGTGTAAGGTAGGGTCGTACTCTGCGAATGTTGTAGAGCATGAACCTGCAGGATTGGGTCACTGCTTTGATGTTAGCGGATAGTCATCAGTTTGTCTTTATGAGTCTGTGGGAATGACTGATTTCCTCTACAATGCCAATGTAGCAACAAGAATGGGTGTGTAAAATGCCTGATTCATTGGGTATGTAGGCATGCTCCAACAGATCCTCAGAATTCAAGATGACGTCAAGAAGAAAGTCACCCACATGTGCCACGCACACAGTGGTCTACCTTGTTTTAGTTACATGACTAGCTCATAGGATACTGTATGACAGGGTTTAATGTTTGGTCAGCAACATGTTTTTGTTTCTTTTGATGTAAACATCGGTCAACGTTGCTTATGTAACACTTAAAATAGCCAAAGGTTGGCCTATATGCTGGTCAATGGATATGGCATCTGCCAGTCTGCATCTGGAGATGATAAACTAACAATATAGTGGAAAATTAAAAAGCCTTTATTTTTTATGGCTTACGCATCGCAATATAATGTTTTATTGTTGTTAGACATAAGCTGTAAAAAAAAAAAAAAGGCTTACATTTTTTCCACTACATGATTACTTTTGGAAGTTCTTTGCACAGAGGTTTTTCGACATTGTTTACTATCCAGAATCAACTTCTGTTTGTTCTATAGCATTTCAACCCATGATCAAAGACCACCTCATGGTATACACCTATAACCAAATAAGCGTTCCTCTCCTGCGTCTCTAATAATATAAGCTGCTTATTTGGAGACAGAAAAATGTTCAATCATTGTTTGATTAAGTGCATGTTTATGTTGTAATTTCAGAGCATCTTCTGAAGTAAAATCTCATTTTGCATTCATTTTGGTTGCACAGCCACTGTGCTATGCAGTTGCCTAGCCATATTTTAATTACTATAGGTCACTGGCCACTGACCTCCTGCATTATGCATTTGTTTCAGAAGAAGAAGAGGAGGAAGATTGACCGCAGCATGATCGGAGAGCCCACAAACTTTATGCACCTCACACACATTGGCTCTGGGGAGATGGCAGAAGGTTTGCCGCCGGTATGTATAAGGTTTTGGCTACTTTAATAAAAATCATCCTTTTACACATTTCGTAGTCAGTGTTTAGAAGAATGATAGGTCAGTCAGTAATCATGACAGATCCATCTCTAACAATTGCCGTTGGGCTGCTCATAGTGAATGCTTCTGTTATTTGTTCTTTGCTTTACACTTAAAGTGCATGTCAAATTAGTTCAATTTGCACCCTACCTAAACTGTTATTTCAACACTTGGATCAAGTCTTGTCTGCAGCAAAATTGTATCAAATTAAATGCAGGTGAAATGGAGGATATTGCGTAAAACATATCAATGCAACATGGTACAATCCAGGGAATTGGTATCGGTTTTCTTTGGACAAAAATGAATACAAAAACACGAATGAAGCTTTGATATGTTAACTGCTACACTAGTCCCACCCCCGTTGGCTTATAGACATTCAGTTAACTGGCCCATCTCCAGCCAGCCACCTGCAGCCCCACTTTTGAACAAGGCTCACCCTGTGCAAGATACAGTAGTGTTCCTGTGAAACACAGGCCCTGAAATGGACCCCCTCCCTACCACATCATGCCCATGATGTTCCCTAGACCCTATTGCTCAGTCCCTCCTCCCTCCCTGGGAGTGATTCCAGAGGGCACACAGAGAAGGGACAGTGACAGGGGACACAGCTGGAAGGCCTTGGCTGCTAAATGAAAGGCCCCTTCTGTGTCCTGCAACACTGGTAGAGGATTACCCCAATCGTCTAGCACAGGAACCCAAAACAAGAGCTCCTTCCTGTGCCTGTTAAAGGGGAACTCTGACATCCCGCTGAAAACCAAGTCAACTCACCAGTGACCAAGTCTTGTTTGCTTAGCATTGACGACCTTTAAATGCATTAATGAGCTTTAATGCCGAATGAGAGACGTATATGTTTTGTGTTTGCACTAAGCCGGCGGCTCCATTGCGAACAATGACAAATCCTGATAATGAAACAAATCCCATTTAATTGGAGTCATTGCACTGGAACAGTGCAAACAGGCATGCTAGACAAACACTGCTGCCTTTTGTTTAAGCTGGGCTGAAGTGCGTTTGGGTATACCTTATTTCCACTGCTGCCTATATCTTATCGTGCAGAATTATTACATAACGCCATTACAAAACATCTCTGTGTAATCTTGACACTGCCTCACCTTCTGCGCCGTCAGTGTTCTGACTACAGGTTTGTTTTAAGTTTTCATGCACAGTGTTTGAATGTTGCAAAGTTTGTATGTATTTCCACATACACGCCTCTAGCTTATCCATCAACTATTTACTTCCGCTAGGGATTGTGGGGCTACATGAAATATAAACATATCACACCGTTGTGAGTGAGCAAAGGGCTCTTACTTAGCAACCACAGTGTTGTCACAGTATTATGCAGGTGCTGTCAACCAACTCTTTAATAACACTTTTGTGACACAACTGACTACATGTCATATAATACCAGAAAGCAGGTCAGATTGTCAATGTCCTCGATTCTTGCTGGCTGATACGCCACTGTATTTGACATTATTCTACCAGGGAGTGATGTTTGTGTGACTGACATTTTGTTCTTGTCCCCTCTGCAGTCAGGGTCAGTCCAGGAACAGATGAGGTCCAAAGGACCCAGCACCAATGGCAGAAGCAGCCTCTTATAGCCAGTAAGTACACTCTATATACTCCAGTACACACACTTGTGCACACACACTCAATCTTTGGATCATACTTTTTTATGGGGTTAAATAAATATGATGAAATTCTGGGGAAAGTTTGTGAAAGTCCAACTGGAAGTGTTCATCTTGATTAGTTTATTTGAAATGGGGGAATTTTTTGTCAAGCAATGTGAATAGGATATTAATGGATGACTCTCCCTATCTTTTGTACTTCCCCAAAAGTTGACAATGAACTCAACATAAGTTCTAGGAAAACTTTTTTTAAACAGTTAACTACATACTCTTTAAGATTTTTTTTGTTTGTATCTGATGATATTATTCAACAAGGTTTGACTTTTTATTCAGAAATTGCTGCTCTCCAATGACATTAGGTTTTCTTGCGGTTTCAGACATATGGACCAATCCAGAGACTCGATGTGAGCTCCTCATTTCCCCTTCCTCGGACCCAGCCTCAAGCCAACCTGCATGGACCAACTCAGCATATTGCACTTAGGCCCACAATGATCACCGCAAATGGCAGAATAAAAAAGAAAGATCCAAAAAGATGAATTCATTTCCCAGAATCCCTTTTAGCCCCATCACCAGTTTCAAATGGAACATGACTCCTGCCTTGAAGAGGGAAAGTACCCTGGATTCTCACTCAGCACTGGGGACTGGACGAGATTGTTTGTGGGTTTTAGTTTGCTTTGATAAAACATAGGAGGTATCCGGCTACTGGCGGATACGGATTTTCCCATTTGTCTCAGTTTCAAGCAAGGGATTGTCCGAACATTTCATATTTCTCTGACAAGACATTTCTCTAACAAGACCATCTCACAAGTGTGATACTGCTCTTGCAGTAACACAAACAAACAGGTGTTCTTTATTCTTGACTCAAAGTGGTGTGCGCTTGTGCCCTTTTAAGTGTTGTGCCTGTAACGATTATAATGCCTTATAAGTAGTGAATGATGGAAATTGAGCCCATCTATTTCCTATAGTGCTGTGACAAGCACGCATTTTTCATACAGTGGGGGAAAAAAGTATTTAGTCAGCCACAAATTGTGCAAGTTCTCCCACTTAAAAAGATGAGAGAGGCCTGTAATTTTCATCATAGGTACACGTCAACTATGACAGACAAATTGAGATTTTTTTTCTCCAGAAAATCACATTGTAGGATTTTTTATGAATTTATTTGCAAATGATGGTGGAAAATAAGTATTTGGTCACCTACAAACAAGCAAGATTTCTGGCTCTCACAGACCTGTAACTTCTTCTTTAAGAGGCTCCTCTGTCCTCCACTCGTTACCTGTATTAATGGCATCTGTTTGAACTTGTTATCAGTATAAAAGACACCTGTCCACAACCTCAAACAGTCACACTCCAAACTCCACTATGGCCAAGACCAAAGAGCTGTCAAAGGACACCAGAAACAAAATTGTAGACCTGCACCAGGCTGGGAAGACTGAATCTGCAATAGGTAAGCAGCTTGGTTTGAAGAAATCAACTGTGGGTGCAATTATTAGGAAATGGAAGACATACAAGACCACTGATAATCTCCCTCGATCTGGGGCTCCACGCAAGATCTCACCCCGTGGGGTCAAAATGATCACAAGAACGGTGAGCAAAAATCCTAGAACCACATGGGGGGGGACCTAGTGAATGACCTGCAGAGAGCTGGGACCAAAGTAACAAAGCCTACCATCAGTAACAGACATGCCGCCAGGGACTCAAATCCTGCAGTGCCAGACGTGTCCCCCTGCTTAAGCCAGTACATGTCCAGGCCCGTCTGAAGTTTGCTAGAGTGCATTTGGATGATCCAGAAGAGGATTGGGAGAATGTCATATGGTCAGATAAAACCAAAATATAACTTTTTGGTAAAAACTCAACTCGTCGTGTTTGGAGGACAAAGAATGCTGAGTTGCATCCAAAGAACACCATACCTACTGTGAAGCATGGGGGTGGAAACATCATGCTTTGGGGCTGTTTTTCTGCAAAGGGACCAGGACGACTGATCCGTGTAAAGGAAAGAATGAATGGGGCCATGTATCGTGAGATTTTGAGTGAAAACCTCCTTCCATCAGCAAGGGCATTGAAGATGAAACGTGGCTGGGTCTTTCAGCATGACAATGATGCCAAACACACCGCCCGGGCAACGAAGGAGTGGCTTCGTAAGAAGCATTTCAAGGTCCTGGAGTGGCCTAGCCAGTCTCCAGATCTCAACCCCATAGAAAATCTTTGGAGGGAGTTGAAAGTCCGTGTTGCCCAGCGACAGCCCCAAAACATCACTGCTCTAGAGGAGATCTGCATGGAGGAATGGGCCAAAATACCAGCAACAGTGTGTGAAAACCTTGTGAAGACTTACAGAAAACGTTTGACCTGTGTCATTGCCAACAAAGGGTATATAACAAAGTATTGAGAAACTTTTGTTATTGACCAAATACTTATTTTCCACCATAATTTGCAAATAAATTCATTAAAAATCCTACAATGTGATTTTCTGGATTTTTCTTCCTCATTTTGTCTGTCATAGTTGACTTGTACCTATGATGAAAATTACAGGCCTCTCTCATCTTTTTAAGTGGGAGAACTTGCACAATTGGTGGCTGACTAAATACTTTTTTTCCCCACTGTATGTATTGCTAAAGTGCAGTGGCCAAATTGTTATTTTTGGTTTTGGAAGCGAAGTTGATCACTTAACAAGCAGGATGTGGCATCACCCTTGGCTCCACCCGCTACTTGTCTGGAGTAGTTTGAGATCCAATTATAGCAGCACTGTACACATACAGGGGTGGGAGTGGTCACTTGTAGGCCTACTTTGCTAATGTTTTGGCACTTTGCATGTTTCACATGGATGGTTCTTAGACATCTTCTCACACATTCCACCATTAGTCACTGTCTTTCTTACAAACACGCCAAGTTTCTCATAGACACCCTCTCGTGTATATACTTCTACCTTAAGTATTATTGCCAAAGTTATGCCTTTATATATTAGGTGCTTTTTTACCATGCATGCTTTAACACCAGCAAATCTGAACACTGGATAGCACTGGCAGGTGACCTAGCAGTTAGAGCGTTGTGGCACTAACCGAAAGGTCGCTGGTTTGAATACCCGAGCCGACAAGGTGAAAAATCTATGTGCCCTTGAGCAAGGCACTTAACCCGAATTTGCTCCAGGGATGCTGTACTACTATGGTTGACCCTGTAAAACAACATATTTCACTGCACCTATCCGGTATGTGAAAATAAAACATATATTTATGTTTTTCATTACCTTCTGTAGTGTCCCATAGACTCGCGCTCTTGGGGTTGAAAAAAAGTGTGTATGGTGTGCACAATTCCACACTGAATGCTTTTAGAATTGACCCATCCCAAGTTAGACTTTTTCTTTGGGGGGGGGTAGTAATCTTGTTGAGAAATCCACTTCTAAGCATTTGCAAGCTGAATGTAAGATGCAGTAACTAATCTAATTGGCTTTATCTAAAAACGATCATCCAGTTGGACTGTCAGTTCATCAGGGTTATGTCACTAACACCTCAAATTGATCATAAACCATGGCAACTTGGCTTTGGGTCTCCTGTTGCACAGTGTTAGTCTTAGAATTGGCCCCTGTCGTTCTAAGCTGAGACATGCTCATTAGCTATTCTGAAAGGTGACCTTTATGGGCTTTCTGTTTCAATGACAATCTACAATTCAGGTTAGAGGAAATGGCAGAGCCTATAATACTGCAGAGAGAAAGTGATGGCTGGTTTTGTTTTCTGTTATTTTTCTATTTATCATATCACAAGTTATCTTGCCTCATGACCGCTAAATGGACCCACTGTTGCCATTGGCTTCAATATTCTATTTAGATGCTAGCCTGCTACAGTTCAGACAAACGCTTGCAGTATGAGTGAGTTTGCATAGAAATTATTTTAATTATTTGTTTTTAATGTTTTACGGCTGCCCTCATATTTTTGTAAGCATTGGAGCTGGATTTTTAAGTTCTTTTAAGTTTTGTTTCATATGCTTAAGAATAGTTCTAATATCGGACTAAAGAGATTCCAGGATGCAATGTACACACTTTTCTTTTTAGTCTCTGCTAATGTTGCAGTGTTTTCCTGGGTCTCCCACTTTGCTCCGTTTTAATTGGTCATTTGTTACACAGTCCTCCTATGAGGATGTTGGTGTACAGATGTGTGATAGTAGAGTAAGTGTTATGCAAACCTGTTAGTGTTTTCTCTGCTTCTGGGCTTTTTCCCTCCTGAAAATACAGTCGATATTTTATGTATCCCTATGTGTTTCTGGTGTTTTGTTTACTTGAAAGAGTCATTTACTTTGAAGGGGCATGTCCTCCAGAGGTTGATACTCAAGTGCATATGAAAAAGTCATTTTGTTTCACTTAAGGAATCCTGCACAGACAAATTATACCCAGTTGAACAGTTTAGTGATAACTGTAGACAATACTTTCTGAGTTTAGGGAAATCAAACATTTTAAGTGTGAGTTAGTCTTCAGACCCAGATTGACAGCAAAAATCTCTAAAGAAATCACTGTTGATATCAACCTCTGTTACGTTTGCTGTGAGGAACTAGACTCAAATTTAAGTTCCCCTGTTTCCAACAGCCAAAGCAAATCTCTGTGCAAAGTTGCAGGAAGAGACTTTTACTATTATGAAAGGCTTCATCCAGCCTCCACACATCTCATTCTCCAACATCTTGTGTTTTATTACAAGCAGCTGTCTGAGACCACAGTAATCTCAACAACCTATAATAATGCTTTTAGTCTGTGAGCAGCCCAGAGTCTAACCATGGGGCAGAGCCCAGGATAACACATTCATTACCTACTTCACTTGGGAGGGGGGAAAGTGCCCATGGAAAAACGGAAGATGTGGGAGGTGTAGCAGTTTGGTGTAATCAACATGTGGGAAAAGTCTCAAGCTATTGTCTTTACTAGTGTAAACTTGACACGGCAAAGATGACTGCGTAAACAAACTACTGGCTGGCCGTAGTTAGCTATTTGTAATTTCTCTCAACAGACTATAAATATATTTCACTTGGAAGTAAATTTGTTTGGGAACCAAAAATAATCACTTACTATTTCCAGTTGTCACGATCGTCAGGGAGAGACCAATGCGCAGCGTGATGAATGAACATGTTTACTTTATTAAATTAAAGCACGACCAAAACAACAAACGACTCGTAACGTCCACAGTGACAATGACCGAACACGGAACAAAAACCCACAAACACAAAGTGAAAAAGACAGTTAAATATGGCTCCCAATCAGAGACAACCAGCCAACAGCTGACACTCGTTGCCTCTGATTGGGAGTCACTCAGGCAAACATAGAAAACAACAAACCAGAACCCCCAACATAGAAATAAACCACATAGAATGAACACACCCTGGCTCAACATATAGAGTCCCAGAGCCAGGGTGTGACACCAGTTTGTCCAATAAAGACAGACAAAATAGATTTAGAAATTATCGTTAAAGGTTTTTGAAGGTTGAGAGCATTCTAAACTTCCAACTGAACCATCTGAGACTAAATGTAAAAAGTAGATCGCATACACGTCACTGTGTTCCTTTGCTAAGCATTACCCCTTTACTATGGGCCCAATATATTGGAATCTCTTTTGCACCCAAGCAATTGTAAATGATATCTACCCTACAATAGTGTTTTTTGTTTTGCCCAGTGATTTCTCCTGTCCTCACCATGAGGTTTTCAGCTTCTCTCGCCCGTCACTCTTCAAGGTGTTTTTAGAGGATATTAAACCTTCAACATTCCTTCTTTCACAATGGACTCTGTTCCTATATAAAACATTGGGCATAGCCAACAGTCTCAGGCCTTGGCTGCATGCACACCACTGTACACACACACACACACTCGGTGTCACGATCGTCTGAAGAAGCGGACCAATACGCAGCGCGTGGAGTGAACATGATGACTTTATTTAATAAAGCAACCACGAAAAACAACAAATGACGATAGTGAAGTCCTCTGTAACACTGACAGAAACATGGAACAAAAACCCACAAACCAAGGAGAAACCACACAGTTTAAATA